GAAAATCTTTAGCTAATCTAGAGTAAATTGACACCCAAATGTGCATAATCTAAGCTGATGATGGTTTTATTAGTGAAAATTGTTTTATTTGAAATGAGCAATGGGAGAAAAAAAAATCAGAATAGAAAAAAAGAGATGCTAATCACTTACTCAAACTCATATGTGCGTATGTATGTAAATACATATGTGGTCACATGTCTGGCAAACAATGCAACGAAATCAGAATTTCGAGATTTCCGACAAAAATACAAAATACAAACTCTGATAGGCAACACTGTTGCCGGAGCATGCAAGTGACCGCTACAAATGAGAACAAATGCGCACAAATGCTCTCAAGAGCATCACAGAGATTAGTAAAGCAAATTGGCCAGATGAATAAAGCCAAACAGTTAAAAGCCGACAAAATTCACTGGTAATTTACGCTTACGAAAATCTGTAGCGTGTGAAGAAATCGGAAATGCAGTAGCAACTGTCAACAAGCGGGCGACTTCTGGGGAAAGTCTTTACCACTCGCTTGCGTGGGCGTGTCATGTGGCAAAAAATGAATGGCTATGTGTTTCTGTGCGTGAGCGTGTGTGTGTGTGTGTGTGATGGCTTAATGTATGTGGTGAGCTCATGTGTGGTACTTGACAGAATGCATATATGGGCGTGCTGCTCATTTGTCACCTTTTTATACAACTCACCTGGCTACCGCAGCCTCTATTTACATATCTGCCACTTGAGTTGCATAAAAATTGTGCACCGCAGACAGTGCGACGACTCTTGACCAGTAAAAATAACCGAAAAAAAAACAAAAGAAAAAACATTAAGGTGAGATATTGAAGGACGTGAAAGGAATAGGAGAAAAGTACAACAATGAAGCATAACAATGCTGTATCCTGCAAAAAGACATGTGAGCTGAGCTGAGCTGCGTATTGTGTGTTTGGGATAAAAATTGAAAGTAAGTGGAAGGAAAAAGGCAGCGAAAGTATGTCTGCTTTTCCACAGAGGACCAAAAAAAAAAAAAAAAAAAAAAAACAAAATTAAACAATAGAGCAAATAATGCAGATAACACTCACAGTTGTTGAAAAAAATACAATAATATTCAAAAAAATTTGCATGAAACTGTCGCAGCAAAGAAAGTGAAACAAATTCTAAACAAACACACAATGCACTGCCAATCGCCTCTGAGGAATGCAGCAAATAGAACAGTGTGTCATGGATAAAAAAATCATATCAATATTATAATTTTAAATTTTTTTTTTACCAAATTTGTTTCTCCAAAGTCAGGATACCAAAAAAAACCACTGTAAGACCTACACTGTACGAATACACTGCTTTATACGGGTATCTTGGCATTTTGGCGTACTTGCGTGAGAGTGTCGTAGTTTTTGCTTTAACTGTGTGATACACATACTCAGATATTTACATCGATGGTACATTGTGGGCACTCTTTCGGGGTGTAGCAGCTTTAGACACGCTGGCGACTACTGTTTTGAAAAAATGTTTTTTGAGGACGGCAATTTGGAGCGATAAGAACGAAACAATTATTTTCCTAATAAAATGCTTAACCAAGAACCCTGTCGGCAACTTAAAGGAACTAATTGAAGAGTGATAAAATAAATAATCTACATAATTTGAGCTCTATAATATCTTAAAACTAACTTAAAAAAGATAGCTAAAGTAAAATAAAAATCCATAAATAAATTATAATCAAAGTTAATTAAAGTTGAACAAAAAACACAAAAAAATTAATGAGTTAAAGAAATAAAAGCAATTAAAATTAATATTAAAAATAAAATAAAATAAAATAAAATGAAACATATGAAATAATTTAAAAAAATTAAATTAAATTCAGAATTAAATCAAGCAAAGTAAAACAATGTAAGTCTAAATTGAATAATAAAAATATAAAAATGCACTAAAATAAAGTAAAATAAAATAAGGCAACGAATAAAATATAATGTAATAAAATAAAATATAGAACCCAAAACCAAGGCAACATAAAAAATAATAAAGTAATATTAAATAAAATAAATTAAAAGAATTTAAAATATAACAAAATAAAAAAATAAAAAGGAAATAAGTAAATAATATCATACAAAAAAATATAATAAAAACGCTAAAAAAATTGAAATAAAGTAAAATAAAGCGAAATAAATTAATAAAATCAATTGGAACAAAATAAAATAAACTTAAAGAAAATAAAAATAAACAGAGAATATAATATTTTATTATATAACATAGAGTATAATAAAATAAAGTGATATAAAAAAAAAAATAATTAAAAAATTAAATTAAATTAAAAGAAACAAATTAAATGATCTAAAGTAAAATGAAATAAAACAATGTATAACTAATAAAATTAAATGAAATAAAATAAATTAACATAAAAAAATAAGAAAAACCATTATAAGTAAATAAAAATAAAATTAAATCAATTAAACTAAAATGAAAATAAATGAATTGAAATGAAATAAAAAAATTGAGCAATAAAATCATATAAAGAAAAAATATACAAAATAAAATAAAATAAATAAATTTGATTGAAAATAAAATAAAATAATGTGAATTAAAAAAGTTCAAATAGAATAAAACTAACAAATTATATGATTTAATGTAAAATAAAATAATATAAATTAAAGAAAAACAAAAACAAACAAAAAATGAAATACAATAAAATTAATATAAAATAAAATAAAGCAAAATGAAATAAAATAATTTAAAAAAAATGCAAAATTAAAAGAAACGAAATAAAATAAGTGTAAATGAAATAAAATGAAGAAAAATTAAATAAATTAAAAGTAAGTAAAATAAATTAAAGTGAAATAAAATAAAATAAACTAAATTAAATTATGAAATAAGAAAAAATTAAGGTAAAATAAAAATAATATAAAAAATAATTTAACATAATATAAAAACTTAAATTAAAAGAGGTTTGCTAGGTTCCGTTCCGATGGCAAAGATGCACCACGCGTCGGGAGGCCTGTCGTCGAAAATTGCGATAAAATCATGCAAATAGTGGAAACAGACCGTCACGTGAGCATTTATTTAACTGATGAGGTACTAAAGTTAAGCCAGAAAACCGTTTGGAACCATTTGTCAAAAAGAAGCTCGATGTTTGGGTGCCACATGAACTAACGCGAAAAAACATAATGGACCGAATTTCCATCTGCGAATCACTGCTGAATCGCAGCAAAATCGACCCGTTTCTGAAACGAATTGTGACTGGCGATGAAAAGTGGTTCACTTACGACAACATCGAGCACAAACGGTTGTGGTCAAGGTTCGGGGAAGCGGCCCAGATGATGGCCAAGACCGGATTGACGGCTTTGCTGTGTGTTTGGTTTCGGTGTGATTGGCAAGGAATCATCTACTTCGAGCTGCTCCTCTATGGCCAAACGCTCAATTCGGCCCTCTACTGCCAACAAATGGACCGCTTGAAGGCAGCAGTCATCCAGAAGAGGCCATCTTTTGTGTTCCATCAAGACAACGCCAGGCCATACACATCCATGGTGACGCGCCAGAAGCTCCAAGAGCTCGGATGGGAGGTCCTTATGCACCCATTTTATAGTCCGGACCTGGCATCAAGTGACTACCATCTTTTCCTGTCCATGGCGAACGCGCTTAATGGTAAGAAGTTGTACTCAAGAGAGGCCTGTGAAATTTGGCTCTCCGAGTTTTTTGCCAATAGGGACGCAGCCTTTTACTGGAGGGCTGTAATGAAGTTGGCACCTCGTTGGCAACAAGTTTACAAACAAAACGGACAAATATACGCAAAGTTATCGTATTTTGAAAAATCAATAAAAAGTCGAATCAACCTTTTACTTGACCTAATATATTAAATGAAAAAAAAAAATGTTTATAACATGCTTATATTTCCTGTTAGAAATACCCATGGAGGACTTGACATTCCCTGCCCAAAGCATAGTTTTTGAAGTTGGCCAGATCTGCACACGAACTGTGGCCTTGTGAATACGTAATGCTAACCACTCTACCATTACGGCCGATTAATTAAATTATTAATCCAATAAAACTAAATTAAATAGATTCATTTTGAAATAACACCTCACACCAAAATGGTTAACAAATGCAAATATACGAACTTATTTGTTCCCTCTCTTTAGCACCCAACTTCCTTTATAAGTCTGCCAGAGTTGTTAACAAACATAATATTGCACCCGTACATACATTGATATGTATGTTCACTCCCACATCTAATTACGAGGTTAAATTGCTACAATCTGTTTACTAATACCAATACGAGTAAAGGCTATTTGCGGCGTCATGAGCTCGTCTTTGGCGATGCTCCAGCAGAGATGACGGGTGTGGGCGGTCAGTACAGAAATATTTATGTGCAAGAGTATACTTCGTATATGTATCTGTACCTGTAGCGCAGTTATGTGCTTTTCTTTCGGCAGTGCAAAGGTGATGCAGACGACAATGACCTATCCGTTTTTTTTTTGTTTTAGTGTGCGTGCTCATTGGGGTTGTGTAGGTGGTTGGGTTACAGGCTTCATCCAATGAGAATATAGCAGTGAAGGCGCATGCGCTGTGAGTTGATGACGTCATAGTGATAACTGAGTTTGATGAGAGCGAGAGAGAGAGAGGTTGGCTGCGAATTTTGTTAATTGAGAGAAACACAAAGAGTGTGACAATTGCAAAAACCATGTAAAGTAATTAATAATCAAATTTTAATTTTTAATTTTAAAACGTGCCTGGAGAAAATATGAAGCTTGACTAGAGGGAAATTAAACATGATTTTGGTGTTTTTTCTTTTCTTAAAAATATCTTTCGCATTAAATTCTTTATTTTGCAATGACCGAAATACTATAAAACATACTACATTTTTTTCATGTCTCACTAGTTTGCATAGTTATAGGCGCACAATTTGTTCAGTGTTTGGCAATCCCTAAAATAACTATTGAGTAATAAAAGTATTTATTTATTTATTTACAAGAGAACTAATTATAAACAATTGATCCACTAAAGGAACAAGCACTGGCTGCCAAGGCCTTCGGCTGTCAATATTGAACATAATGTGTACCTTAAGAATTTACATTTACAGACTATGCCTATTTACAGCATTTAGTATCTATTAAATATCCCTAATATTACATAATTTAAGAAACTTGTTGATAGCCCGGATGTTAACGAGACTTGGTACTTTAAGAAGGTTTGATGGCTTCATGTTACCGAATATAGTTGACCTGTTTTGGCGCAGGTTAATGCATTCATCTAGTATGTGGGTCGCCGTCATGTTAGAGTTGCATAGTATATACCCGAGTTTATCGGAGCCCTTTAAAAGATGAGAATGTGTTCTTGAAGTGTGACCTATTCTCAGGTGTATAAAAGATTTTATTTCATGGCTCAATGCCTCCGCATGGTAAATAGGCTTGGTGCCAGTAGGATTGTGGTTTTTGTAAGGATGGTTATAGTTTGACCATTCTCTAGCTAGCGTTGAATTAAGGAAATATGAAATTTATGACATTTTCATGGTAGGAAAATAAGCTCTATGTTAGTTTAATAAACTGAAATTTAAACTAATTCCCATTTTACATACCCAATGATTGTGCGGTATATGCATTTTGGTCAGAAGGGTTTGACCCTCCATACAAGCTCTAAGAAGACCTGCAGAGCTCTAGTATTCGGGCAACTTTACTTGAATTGTGTTTTGAGTTTTTGTCGGCATCGTTATATAACTCGTAGTTTTCTATAGTTTCAACATCTGGGTAGTTCAAATGACTTCGCCACTCAGTACGGAATGAGGTTGGTATTTCTAATATGAAATAAAAATCCAATAAATCATAAGGTGTTTCGATGAGGCTTAAAACATGGAGGGTTTTATCATTTGTTGGAAAAACATTAAGATTTATACCAAAAATTGTAAAAGGTGTGCAAAAACATCGTCTATAGACTGTGAAATTTTGAAATCGGTGAATTTCCAATCAAGCTCTTGAAACCTCTGGTGGGTTATACGGTCCAATTGCTGACAGTGCAGGTGCAAATTAAGAATTTGACGGCAAATGGATAGTTCAAAATGGATGATTTCTTTGTCAAACCCAACAAATATACAACAAAACTCCCCTGGCCGTCAATATTGCCTATCGACAGTCTTCGATTTTTCGGTTTCGGTTTCAACAGAATCTGTGCTTCGAGCCACCACGGATCGGCTCCGCGCCACTTTCACTCTAGTGGATAATGTGCTTTCTAAGAGACGTCGTAAAATGAGCACCGAAGGCACTTTTGCTGCTGTGGACCAGAGCACCGAAAAAGACCCGAATGAGTCCATACGTCATTGCGCACAATAATTGGAGCTGTGCCCATCCACTTATGGAAGATTCTGTGGAAGTATCTTCGATTGCGAGCTTATAAAATTCAGTTAGTGGAAGAATTGAAGTCGAACGATCGTTAAGCGCGTCGCACTTTCGGTGAAAGAGCCCAAAACGAGATGGCCACAACTTCAGATTTTCACAAGAAAATTTTGTAAAGCGACGAATTCAATTTCGGTGGAAGGGGCAAGTTCATTAAGAAATCCATAAGCCTTTGTTGAGACGTCTTTATATTCTCAGATAATCACTGTTCGGTGTGCCCTATGAGCAGAAGGGGCCATTGATGTATATTACTTGAAAAATTAAGCAGGCAATCAATCAAGGAGGAACGCTGTAGAGTCATGACTAATAACTTGTCGTGCCTGAAATATTGATGTGGACGACGTATGGTATCAACAAGACGACTCTACATGCCACACAGCAAAGGAAACAATCAATTCATTGAAGCCCCTGCGGGTTAGGGGCTCAAGAATTTACCCGCGGTAAGACAAGCCTGTCGTAAGAGGCGACTAAAATCCAATAGTTCCAGCGACAGTCGGGTCTTTATACCGGAACGACCCGGATTTTTATCCGGCCAAGGACTGTCACTCCCGCAATATTCCCCAAAAAGTACTTTGGGGAATAATTTTGCGGTTACAACAACAACATCAATTCATTGAAGGAAACTTTTGGTGAGCACATTGTCACTCGTCGTGGGCCTGCGGCGTCGCCTGCCTGTGAGGTTACGCTGAAGTTTCTCACCCAGCACAGATTAGCCCGCCAGCACGTTATTGGTGACATACGACCTCATTGCGGCCTCTCGGTGGAAATTTTATCGAGTCTGTTGCAGAAGTCACTTATCCGAAAATCATTTTTATTGTATAATGGGAAACCCTTATCTTTATAACAAACCTTAATTCATGAGCATGACATCAAGTTTTGTGAAATTTTGTTTCTTCTTTAAAACCACATGTCTCCAAAAACACCCTTTATATTTCGAAAAATATACATTTGATTTGAATACGATTTATTTTGCAAGATTATTTATTTTTGTTAACCCTTTCCTTGCCCGCAAGTCCACAAACACACATTGCTGCAGCTAAACTTTGCATAATTACCTGCAGTTGCCGGCAGTGCCGCACAATAAGTACAACACATATTTCCGCTAATCCAATACACAAACAATTCTTTGAAGAGCCCTCTCATACTGAGCGGCCATTGTGGTGCTACATAGAGCAAGGCATAATGCTGCTGTCTTTCTCAATTGTTGTCCAATACGAGCACAATGGCAGAGTTGTCATTGTCAATTTTGGGAAATCATAAATTTTGACAAAAGTAACGCCAGCTTCCCTAAGCCCACATGGACTAAGCGGCGAGTTCGCGCGGCGTAAAATTCCTGTGAAAATCACGACTGATTTTATTCTTTCCTTTTGTTTTAATTATAATCACTTGCTAAACTCACATGCACAGTGCACACACACACACATAGGTATGTACATAAAGAGAAGGATTGAAGAAGATTGCTGACCTTGCATTTGTTGTGTAGAGTTTTGCTCACACACTACGAGTATAAGAGTGTTTGTCTATTTGTATGTTTGTTTGTCTGTTGGTTTTGATGTGGTTTTATACAAAAGAAGTAAGGTTAAGAAGAAGAAACTAACTAACTAGTTTATACCCGTTTGGCGTTGTCCGGCACTCGTTTGTGTATGGACGTAGATAGATACAGTGGTGCGCAATAAAATAGAGGCACAGAATTTCCAATGATTGTAGGCCAGAAAAGCTTTGGGCGGCTGCTGTTACCGATTGGTTTGTAGTGCGTGATTCTATGCGAAAGGTCTTGGCTTGGAGTTGCCTCTGATGACCATCAATAAAAAAATTGTTGCTTCTATGGCTTGACTTGGAAACTCATCAGAAAAGTCCGCATTGATTGGTTGGCAAGTGTGATGTCCACGCTGCCCAAAATACTGAAGGCATGCTCATCTACGATATATATATTCTCTTCGCTTCCTAAATATGCAACCTAATTTAAGACCAGAAAGCTTCCGGAAATTGTCGTTTAAACTTTTCGCGCTAAATATTTCTCTGCATTTTTTTGTTAAGTTGGCAGCACTGTCCTTAATTACTATGCCAAAACTGTGCGCGATCTGTCAACCAGTGCTTGCGGCAGCTATTGAAATCAGTTGACCTTAGTTCCTGGAGTACTTCAAGAGAAGCTCCGGCCAAAATACCAATAATTAAGTTAATGGAGGTGTTGAAGCTGAGAGATTTAGTCTGCTATTCAGTTTCAACTCCTCTGGTCTTTAACATTGCCTGTGAAAGGATAAATTGAATAAAGATGATGGATCAAGCAAGTAGTTGCTTTCTGCTTCTTCCTCCCTCAATGTGATGGACTCAATAAGAAGCAGTTACGGAACACAGAGCCACGTACACCACGGCCACCAAGAGCTTTAATTATCCGCCTTCTATGCCATCTTTCCTCCATTGATGTCTTTGCTTAGAACAGCGCACTTCCCATATAACTTAACGCATGTATATACATATGTATCAACTGAAGCGGGATCATCTCCGAAGGGACTCCATAAAATCTTCCAAAGTCAGCCGCCTTTCAAATGAATCATACGTTTCATCTTCATCATCGTTGGTGTAGGCTGTAATCTTTCAAACAACACATGTGATTGGATTGTATGCGATATTAATTAACTTGTTAAAATGAAACCAGTTTGGCTTTCCTCATGGTCCTTCCAACGGAGTGGAGGTGTTCGTATTCCTCTGCTTATATCCACGGGTACTGGATCGAATACTTTCAAAGCTGGAGTGTTTTTATCCGTTCGGACGGCATGACATGGGCAGCATAGCCGCTATCTCTCCGTTCGTTGAACTATGTCGATTTCATCGATGAGCTCATCGTTTCATTGATTGTGGCATTCGTCGTTGCCAGTGCTCAAAGAACCTTAGATATTTCACAAAACTCTTCTCGCGAAGACTCCAAAGGCCGACTTATCGGATTTCAATATACTTCATGCTTTTACACCGTATATCAGGATGGGAATATTGAGGAACTGGCAGAGTTTGATTTTGGTCTGTCTATTCAGTCTTCACAAAGGCAACTGTTGACAAGAATGATGCTGCACTGATTTTCAGGCTTATGGCTGAGGCGACTTCCGACCGAGCTCCTTCCTCAATTTGTGGAATACTTTTTAATGTTTTCCCTCAAACGGAGGGACCTACAGTTCCTTTAAGCCACCTCCGTACGACCGATGAATTTTGATAAGGAGCTTATATTTGATGTCAGAAATGCACTCGGAGGGATTGACATTTCCTGTCGAGAAGCAATTACGCAATAATAAAATTTAATTTTCTATTATTTTGGATATTGGTCTAACCATGATTCGAGGCCTGGTTTTTAGAATGGCAGAAGGCATTGCTAACCTCTCGTCCACTCAGACTCAACTATGCTAAGGGAAGATGATATTCTTTCTCATTTTGCACACATATCGCGATGAATGTGTTGAAACTCAGAGCTTTGAAGATAAGTTGTTTTTTTTTTTAATTTATTTCGAAATATAAAAAATCCTTTTGAAAAGTTTTTTTGAGCCCTAAAGTTTTTTGTAAGATTTATAGACGAAATAAAATAAAAACGAAAATTACTGAATTGATTTCAATTATCCTTGCAGATGTAACGTAAGACCAAATTTAAGTGAGGCCAGCGCCATTTCTTTACGCACCACTGTACAACTAATCTTATGTGTATTAGCGCGCCCGTAGGCTCTTACAATCGGCTCTTTTCCGCTTGCGGCTCTCTTACCAGTTATTAAATAGCTAATGCCTACTAATGATTTTAAATCTAATCTAGGTCGCTTTTGTTCTTAAGTAGTTTTTCTCAAATTTATGCAAAATCATTACTTTCCCTAGTAACTGATACACATACATACATATATCTATATATGCGTACATAAGTAAGCAATAAAGGGTCAGTATGCGTGCATATTTTAGACTTTCATTGTGCGTTTAGCTGCAGGATTGCGTTATTACTCGATGCGTTCTACAGCTGGCGGTCACAAGTATGGGCTGAAGCGATCCCTGTTCGCATTAGCAAGGACCTCTACGCGCTGCATTAATTTTGGTAATGCTCTTGTTTTCATTTTGAATGATTTGCATTTTCTTAGTCTTTTAAAGCCGCTTTAATTGGCCTCATGGATGCCGCTGTTGGCATTTGACAGCGCGGCATATTTTTGTAGTGTTTTTTGTTATCGTTTTTTTTTTGTTTTTGGGTTTGCTTTGGCCAATTGAATTTTTGTATGTTTTAGCAGTCCTAACAAGGTTAATGATACGCAGGGTTGCATATCGAATTACATGAGACAAGGCATCAAGATGGCTGTAA